GAAAACAGTTAGAAACAGTTTAATAAAGACAGGATAGACCGTACTGATGAGGTACAGGGTACAGCAAGACAAGCCTGCTGACTGGCAACCTGCTTACAGCCAACACGTTTATCCTCTTATCCCTCTTTTTTACTCCATACTTGTTCTTTCTCAGAACTCCTGGATCCTCTGCTCCTTTCTCTGCCTTCACTGCCTTCACTTTTCCCTGTTCCCTGTCTTTGGCTTTTCCCCTTTGAGGCTCTTCCCCATAATAAGTTTTGTCCAGTTGCAAAATGTTCTTCCCTTGCATTGCATAAGGAGTCCCACAGCCCCTCATAAGCAGTCACTACCTGGAGAACTTCTCCCATAGCTCCATAGCTCCCTCACAGTGATGGGTGTCACAGTCCTGGCCCCACGGGCTGATGGTTATCATGGGACAGCCCTGAGAGGGACTGAGCTTTGTACTGGGGTTGCCCCACCTTATTCCTTTGTGTGTGTGAAGAGGAGACTTATCACATAGCTTGACAAGGTAAATAGAGCTTGGACAGTTGATAAGTACCTCATGGCCCTGCTACTTAACCCACATGAAGGCACATGAGGAACGCATAGGTTTTTATAAGAAACAAGCTTTACTTGCTAAGATACCACATGGCAGTTCTAAACTCCCTACGAAATAATGTTTCATTTCATACAGGAAGTGACCAGCTCATCTTGAGAGCTTAAGAAGACTTTCTTCAAAGTTTTATTGTCATCCTAATACATCCTAGGAGTTTGGCTCTCAGTTTCAGAAGGGTGTGAGGAAACTGTATATAATCCCATAAAACATGAGGATGCAGTGAGACAACTAAAACTACACCTAGATTTACCTATCTAGGCTTGTAGACTGAAGGCCAGATCTAAAAAAAAAAAAAAAAAAAAAAGGACCCAAGTATTTTTCTAACAACTGAAGACACACCTAGAGTTCAAGCACACCAGCACCAAGGTGGACCTCACCATCCTGAACAAGAGCACCAGGAAATCTATCAGCACTAAGTGGAACGCACAGTGGATCCCACCAAGTGACCCAGTAAAAGCTGGTGGACAAGGATATTTAAAAACAAACAAACAAACAACAAAAAAACACCTTTCCATACTGTATTTAAATGTCTGATTGTTGCTTGCAACAGAAATAGATAAAAAAGAGAAGGCCAGCATTTTGATTCTCCTTCCATCTTTGAGTGCTGACCAAAATAGAGCATCAGCTTTTTCTCTTGCCCATTATCCTTCTGCACCCTTTAAACTTGGATACACAGTAGCTTGGTTTCAAACAGAAGTTTGGAGGGATTTGGTACATGCCTCCCCCTCCACTACCTGCCATAGCAAACTGGTAATAAGGCACTTTATTCAGAAATTGGAGACATGGGTTCAGACCATCTCAAGCTAAGGAGATTAACCTAAATCTCCCGCTTCCTGAGCAAGTGCTCTAATAATCTGATTCATAAGTAAACCTCATCACTTATGTTTCATAAAAGAAATGTGTTTGCTGAACATAACGTTATGATTTGTGTATTATAGTCATAATTTACACATACTTTCTAAACCAGATTCTTAAAGCAAGGTAGGTTTGAAACCCAAATGGTGATAAGCAAGGGAAATACCTTTGCTAAGTTCTGCCCAGAGGAGGCACCCAAGGCACCTCCCTGGACTCATTCAGTCTCCTGAGCACCAACACTTAAAAGCCTTTTGATTCTGAAACCCCAGGCAGGAACAGAACAGGCTGCCACAGCACACCAGCTCACAGAACAGACTAAGATGAGATGCAGCCAAGGAGATTTTGTCTAGTACACATTTGAGTTATCGCTGAAAGACATTTACTGTAGCAAGATTTTTTTTAATTGTAGAAAAATCATCTGACAGTGGCAGAATCAAGTTTATGAAATACAGGCAATGCTGCACAACTTGCTTTTTCTTTCCACTTTAGAGACCTGTATCACTCTTACTCTCAGAATAATGAAGAATGCATTCCAGTGGAGCAAAGCTGCTACAAAAGCCTCTGAAACGGTTATTTGCTTCTGAGGTAGCACAACAGCTCTTGTCTGGATCTGGACACTAGAGATACGTGCTTCACAAAGAATAACTCCCATTATTAAATACAAAAGACTCAGTTGAAAATACAGACCCAGCTTTTCAACATGATGGTAATACTTCAACAACACACCTGCAATTAAAATGCCAAGTAAATTTTATAGGTATGTAGATATTAATCTTCAGGCTGAAAGAACCAATCATTAACCTTTAAAGCTGGTTGCTGCACTAACTTCACTATTCCACGTTGCTTTTTCTTAGATTGGACTTCAGCACTTTCTGACAGACCCCCGCAACTATTGTATGCACGTTTCCTCATCTGCTGACAGGACAAAAGCAGGCACCAACAGAAAAACAGGAAATGCTGAAAGGGTTCTACCAAGGTACTCTCCACAAGCAAGCCAAGATACCTTTTCCCCAAAACTTTCAAATGCTCCTGCAGTGTCCAAGAAATCTTTCTGTTAACAAAACAATGTTTTTTACATCATTACGATGCTTAAAGTTTAAACTTCAGTTGTTTACTTTCTGCAAAAGCAGCATGGCTATTCTAATCTGCATCACATTCTTCGCATTGTTTTAGGTTCAGTTATCTTGAATTCTGTGTTTTTTTGTAAGGCAGTTATCCACTGGGGGGTTTAATACCAACTGCTTCCTCTGATGATCTGTGCTCTCATGCTGAGAAAAAAAAAAGAAAAATCTATCAACTTAATCTAATAGGAGGAATGGTCTCCTGACCTAATCTTTCAACTAGAAAAATATAGGGTAATTAATTTAAATAGCCCCAGGAAGGGGGGCTTAGGTACGTTCAAATATACTGCTATCTTCAATCAGTGAGATAAAAATATGCATTTTATCAAGATGACTGACCATGTGAGCTGCTACATAAGAGCTGGAATGCCAGCACTAAACTCGTTACTAAAGTTGCAGCAGATTACTGCAACGTGATCATTGCAAATTTCTGTGTGAGAAGAAAAGGCATGGGCTCTCTCAGCTATACTTGACTATCTTTAGGAGAATTCTTACCTTTTTAAACTGTGTGCCAGCATGCATATTTAAATTAGTGAATTAGGGTTGTTTGATGGACAAATGGTACCTTATGAAAAACAACAGTGAAGTACAAGTTTTGTGCCACTTTTCGTTTGTTTCTAAGAGTAAGTTCTCGCAGCCAAGGCAAGGTGTATTTAATTACAGGCTGAAATATACGGACTCAGCAACTTGGGTTTGATTTTGTCACCTTGATGTTGAGGAGGAGGTTTTGTACACGTAACATTAATAAGCACACTTGCTTTTCCTGCAGCGTGCAAACAGCCAGATGCTAATCTCACGTCCATCTTGAACGCCACACTTCACCTTAAACAAAACCAAGTCATGCATCTGCACAACATATGCCTTCCAACCATTTTCCGTCCTCGGCTTTTGGTTTTAACTGAGACCCGAGGCGGCTGGGGACTGCCGTGCCGTGCCGTGCCGGCAGCAGCGCTCAGCGCAGGTCCTGTGCTGGCTCCAGCAGGAGGAGAAGCACACCGAGCAGGAGCACCTGGTGGCTCCAGCGCTGTACCTGGCAGCCCAGCACATCCGAGCAGACCCCTGCAGAGCCGGGCTCGGCTCCTGCTCGCCAGCCAAACTCCCCGGGCGCTGCTCCTGGAACAAAGCGGCCGCCCCGAGCCGTCCGCAGCGGTACCACGTGCGAGGAGGGAAAACTTTGGTAAATCGGCTCCGTTACATCCTCACGCCGCCTCTCCCTCACGCCCGGAGAGGGCTTTTCATCCCCTTTCACCCCAAAGAAGAGGGGCTGAAGCCGGTTTGCATCAGCGACGGCGCTTCCCCAGCAGGGGGGCACCCGGGGCTGCGGGCCCCCAAATCTCCCTCGGGGACCGGGCTGCCCCCGTCGGCCCCGGGGAGCGGGCAGCTCCCGTGCTCCCTTCCCTCCCCCGGCCCCTTTTCGGCGTTCCCCGTCCCCCACAAAGGGAGTGGGCGGCCCGGAGGAGGCGGCCGGGCGGAGTGGCCCCCACCGCCGCCGCTTCGGGAGAAGAAAGGGCTGCGGCAGCCACAGAGATGGAGGAGCGAGGGGGAAAAGAGCCCCCCACACCCCCGTACCCGCTGTGCCCAGCACGGGCAGGGGGCACCCCGTAACCCCCGATGGGGATGGGGACAAGCTGGATCCACGCACCCCACGCCCACTCCTCCGCGACCCTCACCTCGAGGCTGGCCGTGCCCCGGCGCCCAGAGGAGCGAGGCCAGAGCCAGCAGCAGCCGCCACCCGCTGCTGCCCACCATCATCCTCATCATCACCCCGCCGCCGGGAGGGACTGCCTGCCGCCCGCCCCGCCGAGCTGCCCGCCTTATAGCCGCCCCCCTCCCCACCGCCGCCCCCGGCCCGCCCCGCACCCGCACCCACGCCCACCCACGACCCCCCCCCGTCGGAGCGTCCCGTTTGGGGAGGCCCGAGGGGGGCGCCTGAGAAACCCCAAAAGGGCGCCGTGAGGTGTCACCCCCACCCCCGGCTGCGTGGAGCCCTCCTGAGCCTCCTCCGCTGCGTGGCCGTGCAGCCATGTTTGTGCACCGGGGGGCTCGTCCCTGGTCCGACCTGGACCAGAAAACCGGCTGTGGGGATTCCTCAGGATCGTTTCTACATGTTTCACTCAGATTTCATTCACGTTTGGCTTCCCTGTTTTAAGGGTCGTCAGTCACACAGCTCATACGCACAGCTACTCCTTAACAACTATCCCAAGCGAGTTGCAGCAAGGTACCACACTTTCCGAAACAAAGAGCAGTGTGGTTGGAGCAGGGGAATTTCAGTCAAGACACACTGTCTCATACCTGAGAACACATCCCGGTTACTTTCTAGGAAGACCTAAGTTTGCTCAGCTTCAGAAAACACATTCCAAAATGCACTGCCATCTGTGAGCTGCATGAGCAAAGTTAGGCTGCAAGTGCATTCTTCAAGTCGTGGGGAACTGCTTATAGCTTTCAGGCTGCAGCTTGCTTGTCTGGTGGTTTTTATTGATCAGGGTAAAGAAATTCAGGAAAAGAACAGTAATTTGTATATTTCGTAAAATAATAAAGCTATTTTTTATCCTGTAACTGAAGAGTTATCAGTTGTACTCGAGAATGCATAACATTATTTATTCTCCAAACACGCGCAAAAAGGAAGAATCCCCAGGTCAAGGAGATAAAAATGAAAATGTTCTGCCACAAAATGGTATCAAAGACATTCAAGCCTACAAATAAATAACACTCCACATCTGTCCCTTCCAAAAGATCTGTCCTTTGCTCACACCAGGAACTTCTTAAATTTCAGGACAGGCAAGAAGGAGGAAAGCAAAACATCTGTGGAGAGAAAAGTCAACAAATTTCAAGAGCCCAAGTGTCGTTTGTTCTAAAATCACAGAGGTCAGGTTAAGGAATCCTCTGTGCAGGATCACAAGTACCAGTTGGAAGCCAAGTACAAAGGAATGGGAAAGACGAGCATCTGTGCAACATAAAATCCCACCAGTTTGCAGCTTTTTAATTAGTTTAACCATTTCATCAAATTCCAACAGGTTGAAGAGTACTTTCTTTACATCCATGCAATGAGCAAGTGCCAGTTCTTTATTACATGCATTAATCCTCGTCAAAATATTCTACTAGGGCTAGAGTATGTGTATCGAGATCCAGCCCTGGACTATGTCATCAGCCTCAATTATTATACCTTAACTAAACATCTGTATACAAGTTGTAACTGAAAAGTATACATTGCATTTGTCTGCAGGACCACATCTCTGTTGTTGTGTCCATTCCCTGCAAAAGCCAACTCTCCTCCAACTTCATGTGAGGACATACCTCGTCTAGGAGGATTATTGTGTTTCCTCTCACTCCTGCTTCCACAGTTCACTGCTGTTGGTACAAACTACCGGACAATCAGACTGATCCCTGCTTCAAGACATACCACTGCTAATATAATTCTTTCCTGACCTCAGTTTCTAATGAGCTTTGAATGATTATGCCTTTAGATGAGAATCTCAGCTTCTTAAGCGAGTGTAACTATAATGCAGGTTTACACTGAGCGCATCAGGTACCATTTGTGGAAGATTAGAAATTTCTTAGTCTTTACCAAACCAATCCAATGAGAAAATGGAATGTCATAGTACAGGTAAGATCCTGACGGTGTGAAGAAGTGTACAAGAATGAAAACGTTTCAAAGCACTGTACTCTTTCATGCATGTTTATACAGTCCTCATAGCCCATATCCATCAACTGAAACTATGAGCACTATTATGCTATATATGCTTAATGTAAATAGTAACACTACAAAATAAAATGGCAGATGAGACTTTTATATTACAAAATGATTAACTTGCTACTGCTAAAACTTTCCATGAAATAAGGGCAGAGATAGCACAAACTTTAGGAAGGATGAATTCTGAATACCTCACAGTTGTTTTACTAATTAAAATTAGCTCCAAAATAAACAAAACAAGCTTGCTATGCAAAGAAATAATAAAAAAAAAAGTTACCTGTAAATACCCAGAAAATACTAAGAGGTGTGATTACAGGGAACTTCTTAAAATTTTATTTTCTCTCACCACAACTTTCATGAATTAGAATTGCCTTAAGGACTAAGTGTTTCAGTTGCAAAGAAATGGAAAATACTAATATTTGGGATTATGTAGCACAAAGTGAATACGTTAAACTAGCCATCTGTGGGTAACAGCCTATTGATAAAAACATTGCCTTCGGCAAAAACAGAGGTTTGGGAGAATTAAACTGGAGAAAGACCAAATACACAAAGTCTGAATGGAACCTCTCTGCTATCCTGCACCTAAGTAAATGCCCAATGAACACCAAATATGTTTTTTCAGCTTTTGTCTGGGCTGCTGTGCTTAAGGCAGAACTATTGTGTTGGTGGCAGGTTCCCTCCAGCCCCCTCAGGAGCACGAAGTCACCTCCTGACCCCGAGGGCAGTGGGGGCACTCACAGCTGTCAGCGGTGCTGTGATTCTCCTCATCCATAGCATATAATAACTTGCACATCCCAGCATCCCACCTTGCTACCTACCCCACTTCTAGTGATCCTTTTTTCTCCACTGCAAATCAATTCATTTCTACGCTACAAACACCTTTGATGCAGTATTTGCTGGAAGTGCGGTGGGGAATTTGGAATAGCTTCTCAAAGGAAGTATGCTAATCAAACCAGTCAATAATCCCACCCAGAACTACATCTGACAGCTAAGTAAGCTTCTTATTAATAGCTGTACTGTACTACAAAGGGTCTTTCTAATTTTTAGCTGCTTCTTTTTTTTTTTTTTTGGTTGGGCTTTTTTTGCACACACTTGTTATCCATTCTGTCTTTGTCTCCTTAGCTCAGAAGCACCACCCAAGTGTTCTGAAAAAGTACTCTGGAAATAATTATCACTTATCATCAGAGGAAAAAAAAGTTCAGTAAACTGCCTGTCTGCCTCTAATAAACATTCACTCGCTACTAAAAGCCGGGTTAGATAACTTGTTATTTTCCCCAGAACTCTTCAAGTGTTTTTCTCCCTCAGAAAAGTCCGTCCGGAGGTTAATAAATCTGAGCTGTGACAGACCAAAGAGAGGGGTAAATTCAAAGCAAAAGGCCCTTCACAGCACACCCTGCCCACAACTTCCTCTCATCAGAGAAAGCCACCTTTACAGCTTGGCATGTGGGAAGTATGATTCAAGGAACAAGGTGTGGGCTGGGGCAGATCCCCATTCCCTGCCGATGTTCCTCTGCTGGTAGCCCGGCTCTCTGCAAAATATTTTGCCCTTCCTATTCCTGAAAATTATTTCAAGCCATAACTTGAAATCTGTGTTATGATAATTTGGCTCCGAGATGACAAAGGCTTCCAGGAGGATTAAAGAAAATCTGCTGTTTTGGAGGAAGCTGGGAAACAGCTGCTCCAGCAGACTGCACGGAGCTGTCACAGGCAAGAGGACAAGGTGCGAGTGGATTGAGCGCCTCCAGCCTGGCCAGAAAAGGCACAGCGTGGGCTGCCCTGCAGATGCAGTCACCCAAAGGCTTGCTTACTTCATGCTGTGGGCTTTGTTGACCCCAGGGTCTGCCTGGACTTAAGTGCCTGCCAGAGAGGAGGGCTAGCTTTAGAGAGAAGCAAGCGCTCTAGGATGGTCTGGATGCCAAGAGGGGGGAATGAAGGAAAGAAAATGGGAAATTCGGTGTAAATTCCTACTCTGCTCCCAGAACACTCATATAACACAGAGGATTTTTAATTCCTGGGCTACCTCATATACCAGGTACATGCCTCTGCCTCACCCTGACCACACGTAGGTTTAGTGGTACCCTGCCCTCCAGGCTCTCAAGGGGCTGTGGACACCCTGTGCCCCCCTCCTATTACCAGCTGTGATTTTTGCCCAGGTGCTATAGGCATCTGGGGAGAAAGCACCTGGTGCTTTCTGCTGTGAAGAAGGCACCAGGAGCTCCAGCAAAGAGGCCAAAAGCTCTGCCGAGGAGGAGATGTAGGCAGGAGCCAGCACAAGACAGAAGTATCATTACTGGCTGCTCTGCACCAGGGAGGGGCTGGATTCTTCCTGATCTCAGCAAGATAGGCACAATACCAAATAACATAATAAAAGTGATTTTATAATAGGATGCAAATAAGACAAAGATTATTGATAGCAAGCAATTCTTATTTCTCTTCATTCTCTTCACTCGTCCTTTCATGCAGCACTAGGTAGACCTTATGCAAGCCATATAGTTGCCCCAGACTCCCTGTTTTGAACTGAAGGAGAAAAATATCTCATTATGTTATGGTAAATATATTGCATGCCTGGATCACACCAAGACACCTACCTGACTGTGAGGACACTTTGTGTAACTCCTGGCCCTTCATGACGACCAAAGAAGGAGTTGCAGGTAGCAAGAGATACTTGGTACCAGGGAACCGTGCCTGTCTCGCGTGGTATGATTTGGAAATGGGTTAATAGACCTGCACTGGTTCTGCGATGCAAAATACCTGCTGATGTTTTCCTGTTGATTGATTTCTGTTCTTTTCCCACCAGAAGGGATGGAAGCATTGGCTGTGAAAGATGTCAAAGGCAGACTCAGCATGTCTTCTGTGAATAGCTTACAGGCTGGAAGTTGTGATTACCGTCCAAGGGGAATGATTGGATGCTATATTGTATTATGGTAAATATATTCTCCCTGAAAATCACAGTAAAATCAGATACATTTTTGTTCTGTTGGAAAAATGGGACTTACAGATTATACAGAAGGCAATACCATCACCGCTGGTGATCGGCAACAGCAATAATGCTCTTTCCAGTCTGGGCATGGAACCCCTCCTTGCATTTTGATTAAACTGTTTGCAAGAGCTTGAAGGCTCCAGTAACCCATGTAGGCAAAGGAATGGCCCCAGGTAAGTTCATGACAGGCATCTATAATGAAGGACTCAGCTTAAAAGCAGAAAAATTTTTAACTCATACTGATCATCTCCAACCTGATCCTGGATCTGTAGGAAGAGCTTGTGGGACTTGAAAGATACAAACCCACCACTTCCAAATTTGTGTTAGGAAGGGGAAAGAATATAGCGTGGCCTTCTTAGAGATGTGCAAGATGAATGGCTTTTAATTTGTGCCCCTAACGTCTAAGATAGTTCTGAGTGAATAGAGAATTTATAAATTATTTAGCTCAACCACAACTGACTTATGAAAGAAGATTAAAGTTTCTGATTTTTTTTTTTTTTGCTTCCATACTGTTTTGCAAAATATATTAAATAGGAGTTAATCAGTTAATCACACAGTCTGATCATTTCTTTGTTGAGTTTGGATTTCTTCTCAAGTGTAGTTAGGTATGCAGCTGGGAAAAGATCTGTAGGATGTCAGTATTGTTCCGGTGGTTGAGCTTTTAACAGCAAGTGCCAAGATTTTGCTGCCCAGAGACATATACCTGTCTATGCAAAATCTGTGTTAAAAAAAGTCATCTTCATGTGAGATTAGCAAGATTTACATCACCTTTTCTGTAGAGTATCTGGAGATCATGCAAGAAACCCAACTTCTAGAAAGCAGAAAATGAAAGCCAAGAGTTTAAATATGTGACCTCTTTTTCCAAATTGTAGAACAATAAATATCTGTGGTTGTCTTTCATAGCTTTTAAAGTGAAGTCATGTATTTATACACCTAAACATGAATTTAATGTCAGCTTTAAGCTTCTGTTACAGAAATTTGCCATAGAATCAACATGAAGAGGCAATGTAACTTCATTAATGTGGGAGGAAATACGCACATAAAGATATTATTTAATCTTAAGTGCCATCCCTGCTATTGCAAGAAAGTGCTTTACACCTATCTGGAAAGTCATTATTATCAAACTGAATAATTTATGACTTCCAATTTTCAAGAAATTATACCTGCTTAAGAGTCAGACCATTGAAAAAATAGTAATTCGGAAAACTATGTTGGCTTCCTAATAATATAAGGTACAATAGGAGTGTCCTACTGTGAAGTTTCAAGGAGCATCATTTCAAAGCCAGCACTAGCTCTTCCTCTCTATGCAGCAGGTGAACTTGTCTTCCTACTGCCTGATGGGTACCTTTATCTGTATTTCAACCAAATTTTTGTAAGTGGAGAAAAAATTGATGATGCGGTCTGAAAATCTCTGTGCTTCACCTTTCTAATGGTACTTAGAGATACCCTCTGCTACCCAAACATTGGCATTAACATACAGAATGGAAGCAGAGCTAAGGCTTACACTTTATCTTTAAACTTAACTCTGCACTCTTTGAAGTGCCTGATTTTGAATTAAATACATATACATTGAATTAAATACAGGAAGTGATGAAATCACTGTTTGTGTTGTGTTTTAAGTTCTTTGCCTGAGCTGGAAAATCGGAGAACAGAGAAACCCCTTTAACTCATAAAGAACTAAAGAGTAGCAGGCAAAAGGACAAAGTTTGTGGGGATATCTTAATTACTGACAAGTTAAATTGCACCGACTAGAACTTATTTTCTGATTCTTTTTTTTAATAATGTAGTGCAAACTCAGTGTTAAATGCCACTGAGTCCTGCTAGCATTTTCAGTCTCTTTCATGCGGTATAAAATAAACTCTCATCAGTGAAGAAGCAGTTTAACACTTTTTAATATCTAGCAAGGTATCAGCTCCACTTGAAAAAGAATGATAATTAAAAATTCATGAGATACTGGAAATGTTTAGAATCTGAATTGCTTAGCAGGAAGAGACAACTGTGTCTACATAAATATTATCCACATGATGGATAGATTGTCAGGCTGTATTTACTAAGGTACTGTTTCTATGTAAACACAGTTGCTAATTAGAGGTTTGTTTTGAAGAAAGAGACACAAAGCCAATCAGTTTGATGAGGGGAGAGCTTAGGAGGTGAGCTCTCTAGCTCGTCTTTGACTTCAATCAAGAAATGCCTTCGTTTGAACAAATGAAAACATTATCAAGTTGTAGTCAGTCCTTATCTGCAGAGACATTTCAGCACTGCATTTACCATCCCTGAATTCCTTCCTGCACGTTTCTGGTTGTCTCCAGGGAGCAGACAGAGGTGCTATCCTGCAAGTGGCAATTAAAATTCTTCCCCATCTACACAAAGTCCCTTCTCCTTCCATCACCCTGCAGCCTGAGGTGACCCCACCACAGGTGTTCACAGGAGCCTGCATCTTTCTGGGGAGAGGCATCACCAACCAGCTTGATGATAACATTTGTAGCTCATCTGAAGGTGCCAATGAAACCATTGCTTTTTCTCTTTTCCATTTTTTCTAATTTGTAAAAGTCAGGGAAAAAAAAAAAAAAAAAAGCCCTGGCTGGTATCACACGCACAATGTAACCAGGCAAATATTTTACTTTTGCTTGGAAGACTCTTTTATAAATGCTAACAGAGGACAGGAAAAATAACTATTATTGCAATAGGATTTTTGGTAAAATGTCAGGAACTAAAGAATACTGGAAGTTGCTCCATTGAAAATTGAAAATAAGCCAGTTACAAAATAAACAATTCAGCATGGAGTTTATGCAGTGATTTTTGGTGAATATTTTATATTACATAATTTCCAAAGCATTCTATAAACTCTACAAGATGATGACACTAACAATAGGTATGGCTCAATTAATTGGCACAACAATGAAACCACAAGCACAAGACTATATAAAATAAAACAAAAGCCCTTCAAATCCAAACCAGAGCACTAGCATGTAGGTTGTTTCCTGATGAAAAATAGTAGCACTACTTCAGTTTTCAAGTATTGCTATGGTATTTGTGATGATGCTGTGTTTTGGTGTATTTTGTTATTACAGTATTTTTTAATTTGATTTTTAATTACTTGCTCGATACTAATAGAAGTAATACATTTTTGTTTTATAGATACTTAAAGAATATTAGAGTAAAAACTTGTAATGAAAAGGTCTTAATTGCTAAAAAAAAAATAAAAAATCACACAGAAATAAAGAACTACAATTAAGTATTTGTGGACCTATGTTCTGTCTAATTCAAATCTGTAAATCTTAGCTACCTACCTCTAGCGAACCTGAAATCTTCCTGCTTCAGCGTGCCGTTTCCAAATTTCGTTCTGCAGTGATTGAAAACACCCACTGGATGGCAGTGCAAACCTGCAAGTTGAAACCTTTAACTCCTTTCCTCCCAGCACCCTCTTCAACTGCGCTGATGGAACCAGCTCAACCTGTATTTGCAAAGCGGAGCCCACCGGCTGCTTTTTGCTGTGGCCTTTTTGTATTTTTCACATCTGTCACCATGCAAGTCTGAAAAATCAGGATCGGTTGTGCTCATCCCCCGCTGCTGGCTGCTGCACGGAGAAGCATCCCGCTGGCTGTGCCTGGCAGGAGGCTGGCCAGCTCAGGATGCTTCAGGCAGACAAAACAGTCACTCTCATGGAAAAAATGATGAGACCGGCTGTCTGTAGGGGAGTTTTTCTGCTCCTGAAGAGTTAAGCGTTAGCTTATTTCATAAAGCTCGAGCTTTGTGAGTTTATTTTTCACCTCCCTAATGTAACTTACCGGCTGCATGAATGTCCTCGTTGTGCATACAATGCCTGAAGAGCCACAGCTGCAGGCTTGTTTCACGTGCTGTTCATCTGAAACAGCATCCAGAGAAGGCTGCAGAGCTCTGGGTAGAAGAGGGGTACAGGAGGCACAGTAGCTAATAAGCAAGCTGATTGAAAATCAATGTGAGTGCAATAAATACTTCTTGTTCATAGCATTTCTTCACGTTCAAGAAAATAATATTTTTCTTTTCCTTCTCTTAGATGCCACGTTTGCCTCACCTCTTTGAAAAACAAAGAACAACTTTTATAGCACCTCTTATTCCCTGAAAATTTCTGATACCCTTCCAACCTCTTCAATTCTGTGATTCTGTGATACTTGGTTCATTCCGGTACCCATGCTGAACTCACTTATTAGCATTTAACAAGCCGGATGCCTTCTAAGTTCATGGGTTTAATTGCTTTGTCAAAGTAACAGGTTTTACTGTTATAACTTTTGCGTAATATTGGCAAAAAAATAAATTCCACATCCCTTCCTGAAGCAAAACTCTCATTAAGGTCAGTTTGAACTTTACCCCAGGAGAAAAAAGAAAAAAAAAAAAAAAAGAAATCACTGAGCCTGGAATTTGGAATTAATGCATGACAGATTTGCAGCAGTGATTGCAGTAAGGGCAATGAAATCAGAAGAATTTTGCTTGAGAGCAAATTTTTTGCTAGAAATAAATAATTGATAGTCAATCATTACTAAAAAGAAAGAAATAAAAAAAAAAGGACGGAAGCTAACAGCTGTTCAATTTAAATCCAAATGTCTTTTTTTTTTTTTTTCCTCTAATACATATTTTAAAACACCTGTCTTTAAAATAAAGTTCATTTTCTTGCCCATGTGAATTGGCTACGCCTTCTGAAAGAGCCTTTCCAAGAATGTCTGAAACATAACAGCTATCATGACAATTTTCAATAAATCATCCCTGGCTGGGAGTCTCAGAGGAAGAGAAACTAAATGATGATTGAATTATCCTTTTATCTCTAAAAGTGATCAGGACTGAGGCACTATGAATAAATGGTTTTAGAGCACTTATATTTCTGCTATCATGATTCAACCTGTTCTGCGAATGAAGAACTCCCCAAATTTCCACTTTTTGGATGAAAATTCACAGAGCAGAAGCAGAAAATAGCCAGTGACTTGACGAAGGTTAGTGTACAGGGTGGTGGGAGTCATGCAGCAAATAAACTCCCCTCGCATAAATGCACCCCATTTGAAACCTAAGCAATATCCACCAGTGTGTCATGGATGCAGGGCACACAAACCAGTTGTACTGCTACAAGAAAAGTAACACCTCTGAAATAAAGGCTCCAGGTCACTTCAAGTCCCCCAGTAGCCATGCTTCCACCTACTAGGTTTCCAACCATGCCCATGCCACAAGCAGTGCCATCCATGCTGCCTGCTCTCTTTCTGCCCAACCTGTGCCTTCCTCACCTCCAGAGGCAGAGAAGGAAGAGGCAGATGTAACAGGAAAATGATTTAAATGCAGTCCCGAGATCACCTGTGGAGCTGAATGCCCTCTGGCCAGAGTGCACCCACCTGCTCAACATCTTTCATTTGCAGAGAGCTGAGCATTTTATTTCTGAGTATATTTCCAAATGGCATCACTTGCTTTGCAAACAGTGAAGTCACCACATGCCATGGCTTTTTTTTTTTTTTTTTTAATTTTCAAAAAATACATTAAAAAAAGAAATAAAATATGTGTGCAGCTCTGCTGCTGAGGCAGCCCCAGTCTGGCTGGAAGAGCGAGGAGTACGGTCAGAACCAGGCGGGCAATGCCCAAAGCTGCCAAGCAGTGTTGAAGATCCCAGTTTCAATATGTTTCTGAATGAAACATATTCTGACAACACATTGCAGTATTGTAATTGGATTGAAGTCTCATTTTTTCTAACCTGGATGCAAGCAGAATTTCAGTATTTGCAGAAAATGCACATCACTGGAGTATTTTAAACATATAATCATTTAAGACAGTAAATAAAATCACATGTACTGAATGGTACATATGTGTCTGTATATTTAGGTACATGTTCTTATATAATTGATGATGTATTTCAATACCCCCCTTATTGTCTGTTAGGATGCTCAGTGGTTTAGAGCAGAGAAATTTCACAAACATCCACAGTAGCAAGCCTTACACAAAGCCTGGCTCCTACACTCCAGCATCATCTGCATGTTCCTTAAAAGTCTTTGAATTAATAGCTTAAATATTTATCCTGAGACTCCTCTTCCCACCTTTTGTCAGGAAATAATGGGTTTTTCATTAATAAATTAGATCATATGTGTTCAATAACATCAGCAGTGAGTGCAATAACTTCAGCAGAAATATGTGCACACATTTATGTCTTTACTGCCACAAAAACAGAACGAATGAAATAGAAGCTGTACAGCTACTTCCCACTGAAAAGTCAGCATAGTGCTTAAATAAAAGGGGAATTAGCTATTCAGGCATAGTTTTCTATCATCAGAAGGGATGTAATGATGTGACGGTAATGGTCTGTCCAGAAGCTCCCCCATTTCTGAGATACATAGGGACGTTTAAGATGTAAAGCCAGGGGGCTACATTCTAACTGAGAATTAACAGGTGCAACTTTCAAAATAAACAATGCTGGCTGACATCAATTCTGAGTTTGGCCTGTTTAGAAAATATTTTTGTTTGTTTAATGCCACAGAATACAGAATACCTTCCCACAGTCCCAGGTGCTCTTGGATTATCTAAATGCAATGGATTATACAAAAAAAAAATCTAGAACAGAATGATCATTTTAATAATCCTGCTGGAAATGTACAGTGTAGCTGACTTCTGTAGTGGCCAGCTACAATGAGATATCACCAGATGTTACATGGATGCTTAGGAAAAAAAATATTTTTAAAAATATATTTATTTATTTACTGTATCGCTTGTTTTCCTTATGTCTGAGACAAAGCTCACCTGTGAGCATTTGTGTTGGAAGCCCCTAGATTGCCTCAATGCCTGAGGAAGCCAGGCTTCATCAGGGGACATGCTTGCCTTCAAGCCATCCCAGAACATGAACTTGAACTCTGCCTTTGCAAACACAGTGCTGCCAACACTTACATCTCTGTTGAGCTGTGTGACGGAAATTGTGGCAACACGCATTGGAGAAGCACTTGCCACAGGGCACAAGAGGAATGGGCTGGGATTTGTTTCTGTGGTGTCTTGACTATTTTATTTTATTTTATTTTATTTTATTTTATTTTATTTTATTTTATTTTATTTTATTTTATTTTATTTTATTTTATTTTATTTTATTTTATATTTTATTTAAGCTGTAATATTAAAGATTAAAACTTCCTACAAGGTGTGCCTATGGTTATGGAAGAAGCATAGGTGTATTGCATAGGTTTATTTGCATTGGACAGCACAGCCACCTTTCAAAAGCTAGTTAGGAAGAGACTACATGCTCTTTGTAGCCACTGTCTGATGCTGCAGGCTCTGCCCTGTGTTAAAAACAGAGAGAATCTGTGAGGCTTCCCTAATAAGAGCAAAGTGGGAAAAAAAATGTTTGCCTGGGTGTGAAACAGAAAGAGGCTGTTAGACTATCTTGGCTGACAGTCTCACAAATCAGTGGTGCAGAGCTCTGCTTATTACATAGCAACAAAATCCCCTACAAAATTAGTTTCCATTTTTGCAGCAGATGTTATATGCTGCATGTAGACGATTCAAATGACAGTCCATCTTCCAATGCTTTTCAATGACTGTCTGAATAGTTCAATAAGTTATCCAGATAACCACTTCTGCAAGGACATGTTATGGTCGTATGCCATTCCTAATGGAGACTTCCTCTTAATTTATGACTTCTACCTTTCCAGCATTTTTATTATTATTATTATTCAAAGCATTTATTTGAAAACTAATAAAGCATGTAAGCATTATAGTAATAGCTTAAATTCATTTATGAGATTTATTGGGGAGAGTTTGGGCTGACAGAAATAACATGTCTAACAAGCAGATTATTGTCCTTCCCAGATGACTGATCCAGGAAAACATCAGTGATTATCAATATTAAAAGACAACAGCACCACATCCAGTGTTTTCCAGCTTATACATGTCCATACTTGTACACATCATTTTGCTAATAAGAAAAAAATAATTGCACCTGAGTCTTTCTGTATGAGACCTGGCTGGCACATAGCCCTTTCAAGTGCCTTCTTCAGCAGCAAGATTGCAACAGATGCCCTGGAGAAAGGCCAGCAAACCTTCAGATTGGCAGGTCCTTAGGCTGTCCTCCATCTGATAGATTCTTAATCCTCAGCAGCTATAGCCTGGCTCAGTCCCTATGGCACTGGCTAGTGAAATCTTCCTAGAAACTCTATGTAAGTCTGTGTGAGCCTCTACCCAATTTCCCCCCCCTTTTTTTTTTTGCAGCTTCTACCTTTGTGTTTCTCTCTTCCCGTGCTTCTTACAGTGTTCACCATGTACAACAGTTTTGAAATGCAAACGAAAACTTTTCCCTGTATAAGTGCTGATTCAGAATTATTGTTGCTCCTGGGATGATGTAATTTATGGGATAATGATGCAGCTTTCTGTTGCTCACATTCACCTCTTCCCTCTTATTTTGGAAGCGGCCTTGTTCAGCACAAACATTCGTACAACTCAGATGAGAGGGCATATCCTTGACTTATCATCATCGGTGATTTTTTCACTTGACAGGATGAAAAATGCATACACCTATTTACTCTGATGGTTCCCTTATCACCGTGGGCCTTCCTGAGGCTAAGTCTGCTCAATCATTCAATTTTGATTCTGGAAGCAATGTTAAGGCCATTAGCTGGGTCCACATAAGGATGCTCTTATAAATCTTGACATGCTTATTAATCATAAATTTGGTAGACATTCTGCTCCACTCTTCCTATTGTCTGCTTATGCTTCATATATGATGTAAAGTGTGGGTTTGGGGGGAAGGTGTATTTTTAGATCAGTATTTGTGCCAGATAGCAGGTAATGGTTGGTATTTGTATATTAGGATTTCTATCCAAGGAAGAACAGTTAGCTCTTCTCTGCTGGTATTACACATAGTTCGTTCCACAGCAAGACATTGAAAAAGTGCAGTTAGAGAAGTTCAAGAGCAGGTGTCTGCAGATGAATGTTCACTTTGCCTTCTT